AATTCCCACCAGAGACCCTGCTGTATCATGTCCAAACAAGAATTCCTGGCTATGACCTGGGATCTTTTGCCAGTGGAGGCCCCATTAGTGATGTGGGACAGATGAGGCTGGACACCCAGGGAAGATTCAGGGAGCCAACTTAATAGCTGCATGGCTCACAGGGGTATCCCTAAAATTTTCTAAACCTCCAGTTTGAAATTTCATTATATTTACCCCCAGTGTGTACATTTTTTGTAGGAGTCTACATAAAGTTTTTTATCCATTACTTTATAGAAAGTGCTTTGTGTACCATTCAGAATAAGATTAGTCAGAGGTCTTTCAAGCATTACCAGAAAACCAGAAGTAAAGTCATCAGTCTGCATAGGAACCCACATTGAGTTCTTTGCAAAACCTTTTCCTGACATTCTGTTTAAAGAAAATTATGGTGAGGGTCTCTGGAGAAGCTTATTTAAAATTCTTACATGGAGAAGGGAGTGCCACTACATTAGGACATCAGACTGGGACTCTCCTTACCTTGCCTTTTATTACATACTTTGTATGAAAAAAATCATCACACGATGTTCCCAGGGCTACTGAGTACCCTGAGAGAGAGGTCCAGCCTAGATTTTTCTGGCATATTCCACCTAAGTATTAATCATGGGGAGAGAAACTAAGTGGATGTCAGTTTTTAAAATTCACTGATGTCAAGAACCTTCAAGAAAAAAGGGACTAACTGCAAATATGGAGGAAACACCTGCAGAACTGCATCTACTCATGTGGACAGTAGTGGGGTCCACACACACAGCAGCAGCAGCAAACTCATCACCTGAGCTAGGGGAGGGCTCAGTGCTAGGGCACCTGTCTAGCAGGCACAAGGCAAGATTGAGTCCCTGGCACCAGGGAAAGAGAAGAAATAGAAAGCAACTCAATTAAGTACAGGGCAAAGTATATTTTGAGAAGGTGCCTCTCCAGACAATACATACAAATTACAACTTTTATAATGCCCTTTAATGTGCCTACTTACAACACAACACATGAGACTTAGAACAAACACGAGTGATAGGGTGGTGGTTCCAGAGGGTATGTACAGAAAAGGGTGACTTGACCTTGTACATGCGTGTGCACAAGCGTGTGAGTGTGCATGTGTGGGTGCCAAAACTCAGCCCATTTTTAATGTCACTTGGTGCTCTAGAGAACACTCATGTGAAAGCCAGGCCATTTTTGATAGTCTCTGTGACCCTGCTAAGGTGCTTTTCTGGTGCCTAGTGCATGAAAGGCAAATTAATTAAAACTCATTATATCAAGAGTTCTTAATAAAAATGAATAACTGGTTTTCTTAAATATTTAGTTCTTTAATCCCTGTTTTCAACATAAATTATCTAATATACATTTTTTTCCAAGTTGACTCCAGTTTAGTTCAACTGAACTAATAATAATTTGGAAAGTGTGAATTAATGTTCTTATGATGATCAGCATCATTTTAGAGTCTTAGAGCTTGAAGAAGAAACACATGAAAAAGTAATTCCTGCATCTGAATTGGTGACACCTGAAACTCCACACAAACAAGGCACATTTTGATTTACATCAGGGATTCAGGAAACACCCAGGAGCTGAGCAGCATAGCATATTTCTGAGATCCCAGTGGCCATAGCAGGAGGATCACAAGCTTCAACCCAGCCTCAGCAAGAAAGGAAGGCCCTTAAGAAGAACTTAGCAAGATCCTCTATGAAACAAACAAACAAACAAAAAAACACAAAAATTTAAAAAGGACTATGGATGGAGCTCAGTGCTTAAGGACTCCAGATACAATGATGCTAATGTTCCTTTTCTCTTCTCCATTCTCTGAGCCTAGTAATTATTTATCTAAAACCTCTCACAATTTTTATTGTCATAACATATGTAAAAGTCATACAATATTTGAGGACACAGAAAATATCAGAATTACATATGGAAAAAGTTTTCAAATTATGAGACCAGAGTTTAAAATATCATTTATTTGATAAAGCCTTTAGTGGAAAAAAAATGGACAATATAAGAGAAAATGTACTTAATGGAAGGAGAGAGAGAAAAACTCTAAAAAAAGAATTAAAATGTTGTGACTGAAAGTTAACACAACTAACTTTTTCATACACACATATATGCACAGTATATATAAGATTATGTCATAATATGTGAGTTGACTACAGATTCAGAAAACTTAAAATACAGAAAAATTGAATCTAACAATAAGAGAGATTCAACCCAGAAAAACATGCTACTTTCACATCTTCATGCTGAAACAATCCCTACATCCACTCCAGGCTGCACTTTTATGACCTCTGAAGAGACACGGGAGGAATGAAGGCACGCACACTTTCCCCTCAGTGACAGTGGTTTTCTCAAAAAAGAGGTTGCTGGCTGAGGACAGGGCAGGACCATATCAGGCTGAGGCAGCGGGATCACAGGTTCAAAGCCAGCCTCAGCAACTTAGCACCATGACTAGTGAGACCATGTCTCAAGATTAAAAAAAATAAAATAATAGAAAGGACTGGGATGAGGCTCGGTGGTTAAGCACCTTTAGGTTAAGTAGTAGTAGGAGGCGGAAGGTGGGGCTAGAGGAGGTGCTGTTTCTGCTGCTCCCTGGTGAAGCCAAGGAAGTAGGCAGGCTGCTTCTCCACAGGGTCTGGCCTAGACGGAACACCGCATCTCAGAGAGAGGGAGAAGCCCCCTAACCCGTGAGTTTTCACAGAAATCACCTGCGCAGAAACCAGAGCCCCTGGGCTCCAGTGAGTCTTCGGCCTCTGGAGCCAGGGCCCGGGTTCGAGCCCACATGCGGCTCTCCAGAAGCACCTTAGCCCCTCTGCAGAGCTCCAGGCTGCGCTGCTCCCACGCAGCTCACTCGCTGCTACCTGTCCACAGCACAAGGCCATCGGCCAGCTCCCCCACCTCACTGGACACCCCGGTTCTGGAAGCAGAGCTACTCCATCTTGAATCACCTTCCTCGCCATTTTATGGGGGACATGGCTCACAGATGGAACTGCCATCTCAGCAGGTACCTGATTTCCAGCCACCCCCCAGCAGTGATAACGGTCACAGTGGCCTCCCAATACAAGATCAGCTCTCAGGTGGACAGGAATGCAGTGCGCCGCCCACCTGGAGTGAGCTGGGGCTGAGACGCCCCGCAGTTGGGACCTGATAAATAAGAGAGGGAAGGGGACTACAATTTGGGACACAACTGAGAGATCAGGATCTGGGAAATCTCTAGGTGAGAGAGGGAGATGATACCATACTGGGGGCTCAAGTCAGATGAGGGTGAGACACTTCTCAAAAGAAGATATACAATCAATCAACAAATATATGAAATAATGCTCATCATTTTAATCAATCAGAGAAATGCAAATCAAAACTATGCTAAGATATCATCTCACTCCAGTCAGAATGGCAGCTATTATGAAGACAAACAACAATTAGTGTTGGTAGGATGTGGGGAAAACGGTACACTCATACACGGCTGATGGGACTGCAAATTGGTACAGACAGTATGGACATTCCTTGGAAATCTAGAAATGCAACCACCATTTGACCCAGCTATCCCTCTCCTCGGACTATACCTAAAGGGCTTAAAAACAGCATACTACAAAACAGCATACTACAATGACACAGCCACGTCAATGTTTATAGCAGTGCAATTCACAATAGCTAAACTGTGGAGCCAGCCTAGATGCCTTTCAGTGGATGAATGAATAAAAAAAAATGTGGCATATAGACACAATGAAATTTTACTCATCAATAAAAGAGAATAAAATCATTGCATTTTCAGGTAAATAGAGGCATTGGAGAAGATAATGCTAAGTGAAGTTAGCCAATCCCCCCCAAAAAATGCTGAATGTTTTTTCTGATATAAGGAGGCTGACCCATAGTGGTGTGGAGAGAGAAATAGATGAATTGTAAATAGGGGACAGGGATGGGGGGGAAATGGAGGGGACAGGGGATTAGCAAGGATGGTGGAATGTGATGGACATCATTACTCAAAGTAAATATATAAAGACACGAATTACGTATCAACATACTTTATATATAAAGATATGAAAACTGTGGTATATATGTGTAATAAAAATTGTAATGCAAAAACAAACAATCATCATCAACAACAACAATAACAACAAAAAAACAAACTACATGTATAAAGACATGAAAAAACAAGAGACGTGGAAATTTGAAAGTGTTACCAATCATTTAAAGAGCAGTAGGGTTTCCTTGATGTGAATCCTTTCATGTCTTTAAAGGAAACTGTGAAACCTGAATACTGCCCCACATGGCGTATCCACAGGATTTTCTGCAGTCTGAGTCCTTTCATACAACAGAACAAAACTGGAACATCTGAGCCCTTTGTATTTCTTACTCACATAGGACTTATTCATTTTGGCATAAATCTTTTCAAAAGAAATTTTCCCAGTCCCCAGAAGGAACAGGGAAAATTTTCCACATTTCTCACACTCACAGGGCTTCTCTCCATGAATATTTTCATAAAAGAGAAGAAAAATAGGACTGGGACAGTAAGCTGATAGAATGTAGCACCCCCCCCACCCCCCACCCCCTGTTCAGAGGGTTTGTTTCGCAGCGTGAGTGAAATGGCTTTGAAGGCAACAGGGAAAATGGAATAATTTACCATATTTTTCACATTTAGACAGTTATTCAGTCAGATGTGGTAGTGTACGCCTTTAATCCCAGAGACTTGGGAGGCTGAGGCTGAAGGACCACAAGTCTGAGGCCAGCCTCAGCACATCAGGAAGACCATAAGGATCTTAGATAGTCCCTGTCTCAAAAAAAACAAAAAGGAATGGGGATGTGTCTCAGTGGTACAGTGCCACCAGACCAAATCTCCAGTACAATCCCCAGTACAATATTCAGCAGAGTGAGCCCTTTTTTGTGTTTGAAGGGGACAAGAAATACTGACCCACCACATTCCACATTTAAAGGATTTTTCTCCTATAAACTTCTAACATGTTGATGAGAGGAACAGTAATAACAGAAGACTTTACCAGTTGTGTTCAAGAGTACAATTTCTCTGCCTTATGGGTTTGTTCATGTAAGTGAAGCTGAGAGGATGTAACAAAGGATTTTTCACATTGTTGGCATTCATAGGTCTTCTCCCCAGCATGACTTCGTTCATGTATCAGAAGAGAAGAGGAATTAGTATAGGCTTTCCCACATTGTAGACATTCATAGGGCTTCTCTCCAGTATGAGTTCGCTCATGTATCACAAGGGAAGACGAAGTAGTGTAGGCTTTTCCACATTGTTTACATTCATAGGGCTTTTCTCCAGTATGTATTCTTTCATGTACGTGAAGTTCACAGGATCTACCAAAGGCTCTACCACATCTTTGACATTCATAGGGCTTTTCTCCAGTATGTGTTCTTCCATGTCTGTTTAGCTGATAGGATGTAGCAAAGGCTTTTCCACACTGTTTACATTTATAGGGCCTCTCTCCAGTATGCGTCCTTTCATGTCTGTGAAGCTGAGAATATGCAGCAAAGTCTTTTCCACATTGTTGACATTTATAGGGCTTCTCTCCAGTATGCATCCTTCCATGTGTGTGAAGGTCACTGGATCTAGCAAAGGCTCTACCACATTGTTTACATTTATAGGGCTTCTCTCCAGAATGAGTTCTTTCATGTATGTGAAGCTGAGAAGGTCTAGCAAAGGCTTTGCTACATCGCTTACATTCGTAGGGCTTCACTCCAGTATGAATTTGCTCATGGGAGCGAAGGTGAGCAGACTGAATGAAGGCTTTGCCACACTGCTTACATTCATAGGGCTTCACTCCAGTATGTGTCCGTTCATGTATCTGAAGGTAGGAAGAAGTACTGAAGACTTTTCCACATTGTTGGCATTCATTGGTCTTCTCTTCTGTGTGAGTTCTTCCATGCATGTGAGGTTCACTGGATGTATCAAAGGTTTTTCCACAATGTTGACTTTCATTGGGCTTCTCTCCAGTATGGATTTGTTTATGAATCTGAAGGTAAGTTGAAGTAGTGAAGCCTTTCCCACAGTGTTGACATTCATAGGGTTTCTCTCTAGTATGTGTTCTTTCATGTCTGTGAAGGTTAGAGGGGTCAGTGAAGGCTTTTCCACACTGCTTACATTCATAGGGCTTCTCTCCAGTATGAGTTCGTTCATGTATGTGAACCTGAGAAGATCTAGCAAAGGTTTTGCCACACTGCTTACATTCATAGGGTTTTTCTCTAGTATGAGTCCATTCATGTATCTGAAGGGAAGAAGAAGTACTGAAGACCTTCCCACATGGTTGGCATTCATTGGTCTTCTCTTCTGTGTGAGTTCTTCCATGCATGTGAGGTTCACTGGATGTATCAAAGGTTTTTCCACAATGTTGACTTCCATTGGGCTTCTCTCCAATATGGATTTGTTCATGAATATGAAGGTGAGTTGAAGTAGTGAAAGCTTTTCTACATTGTTGACATTCATAGAGTTTCTCTCCAGTATGCATTCTTTCATGTCTGTGAAGGTTAGAGGACACAGTGAAGGCTTTTCCACATTGTTGACATTCATAGGGCCTCTCTCCAGTATGCGTCCTTTCATGTTTGTGAAGCTGAGAGTATGCAGCAAAGTCTTTTCCACATTGTTTACATTTATAGGCCTTCTCTCCAGTATGCATCCTTCCATGTGTGTGAAGGTCACTGGATCTAGCAAAAGCTCTACCACATTGTTGACATTCATAGGGCTTCTCTCCACTATGAGTTTGTTCATGTATGTGAAGCTGAGAAGATCTAGCAAAGGCTTTGCCACACCGCTTACATTCATAAGGCTTCACTCCAGTATGAGTTTGCTCATGGGAGCGAAGGTTAGCAGACTGAGTGAAGGCTTTGCCACACTGCTTACATTCATTAGGCTTCACTCCAGTATGTGTTCGTTCATGTATCTGAAGGTAAGAAGAAGTAGTGAAGACTTTTCCACATTGTTGGCATTCATTGGGCTTCTCTCCAGCATGGATTTGTTCATGTATCTGAAGGTAAGATGAAGTAGTGTAGGCTTTTCCACATTGTTGACATTGATAGGGCTTCTCTCCAGTATGCGTCCATTCATGTCTGTGAAGAGAAGAAGAAGTACTGAAGACTTTTCCACATTGTTGGCATTCATTGGTCTTCTCTTCTGTGTGAGTTCTTCCATGCATGTGAGGTTCACTGGATGTATCAAAGGTTTTTCCACAATGTTGACTTTCATTGGGCTTCTCTCCAGTATGGATTTGTTCATGCATCTGAAGGTAAGTTGAAGTAGTGAAGCCTTTCCCACAGTGTTGATATTCATAAGGTTTCTCTCTAGTATGTGTTCTTTCATGTCTGTGAAGGTTAGAGGGGTCATTGAAGGCTTTTCCACACAGCTTACATTCATAGGGCCTCTCTCCAGTATGAGTTCGTTTATGTATGTGAAGTTGAGGAGATCGAGCAAAGGCTTTTCCACACAGTTTACATACATAGGGCTTCTCTCCAGTATGAGTTTTCACATGTGAGTGAAGGTGAGTGGACTGAGTGAAGGCTTTCCCACACTGCTTACATTCATAGGGCTTCTCTCCAGTATGAATCCGTTCATGTATCTGAAGGTTAGAAGAAGTAGTGAAGACTTTTTCACATTGTTGGCATTCATAGGATTTCTCTGTCATATGAGTGTTTTCAAGTGAGTGAAGGTTAGAAGACTGAGTAAAAGCTTTGCCATACTGCTTACATTCATAGGGCTTCTCCCTAGTATGAGTTCTTTCATGTCTGTGAAGGTTAGAAGAAGTAGTGAAGACTTTTCCACATTGTTGGCATTCATTGGGCTTTTCTCCAGCATGGATTTGTTCATGTATCTGAAGGTAAGATGAAGTAGTGTAGGCTTTTCCACATTGTTGACATTTATAGGGCTTCTCTCCAGTATGAGTTTGCTCATGAGAGTGAAGGTGAGCAGACTGAGTGAAGGCTTTCCCACACTGCTTACACTCATAGGGCTTCTCTTCTGTATGAGTCTGTTCGTGTATCTGGAGGTAAGATGAAGTACTGAAGGCTTTCCCACATTGTTGACATTCATAGGGTTTCTCTCTAGTGTGTGTCCTCTGATGTATTCTAAGTAAACTGGGATAAGCAAAGTCTTTTCCACATAGCTTACATTTGAAATGTGCTTTCCCAGTGTGCCTGATCACGTGACATCGAAGACTTGTGAATGAAACCAAAGTTTTACCACCTTGTTTACATTTATGGAGTTTCTCTCCAGAATGAGTTCTTTCATGTTTTCTAAATAAAGTGGGGGAATGAAAGGCTTTCCCACATACCTCACATTGAAAAGGTTTACCTCCACTGTGTGTTCTCATGTGTTTTTGAACAGCTGGGAGAGAAAAAAAGGCTTCACCACATTGTTGATTTTCATAGGGTTCGCACTTAGTATGAGATACTTCATGTCTTTGAATGTCACTGGAACAACTGATTGTACTTTCATATGGTTCATCTCCAGTTTGTATTAACACTTGTGTGTGAACACTTTTGAGAGAAACCAGAGATTTTCTGTATTGTTTCAATTCACATGGCTTCTCTTCACATTCTTCATGCTTATAGTGTTCATGCCCACTGTGAGATCTGAAGTGCCTGTGAAGGTATGAAGGACATATGTAGTCAGTTGCACACATAATGTTATCATATGAATTCACTGTATTAAAATTTTTCTTTGTCTTCTTAAGAACTGGAATCTCATTGAAAATTTCCCCATACTGTTCTTTGCCTTTAAAGTTTACCATAAGATTTCTTTAAAGAATGATCAGCACATGATTAATGCTTGATTCATTCATGATTTTATATTTATTTAAAGGTGCTAGGCTTACATTACTACCAACATCAGGTAAAGACTAGGTTTTCCAACTTGTTCAAATTGCCAGAAAATAAAGAGACTGAGAGGAAACAATGCTTTGCAACACAGCTTGCCTACGACTATTATCCAAATAGTGATATTTACATATGCAATTTCATAGTACTTTTGCATGTCAAGTACTTTGAAAAGACTGAGTATATTTCACAGTTAAATATACATGTATGTAAAATTTATTTCAGTTGTGAATAAACTTTATTGATTTTAATGTGGTGCAGAGAAGAGAACCCAGTGCCACAGGTGTGCTAGTCAAGCTCTCTACCACTGAGTCATAACCCCAGTCTCAGTTAAGTATATATTTTTGGTAAAAAAATTTGTAAGAATAAATACATTTAAAGTTGTGCACATTTCTTGCAAATTATATGACATTCTCAGATTCCCTCAAGGATTCCTCTTGTGAGTACAATTACCTTAGATTACTCCCAGAATTACTGATCTGATCTTCAATGTTCTTGTCATCCCATCTCTTTCCTAAAATACCAAACCAAAACATTATAAATTTTTAGGAGATAGAAAGGTGTTTCCAAATTTATGGAGCATTTTATGCCACAATAATTCACCAATTGATTGTCTTTTCATGTTCTACATAAATGACCAAAATAAACACGACTTCTCTATGTGATTAAATAACTACACAACATTATTACCTAGAGAAGCCAGGTTTCTGAGGACTTCCAGCATCACATCTCTGTAAAGGTTTTTCTGGGAAGCATCCAGCAAAGCCCACTCCTCCTGGGTGAAGTTCACAGCCACATCCTCCAAGGCCACTGAGATCTAAAATATCCCACAAATGTATAGTGGAGGACAAGAGAGATTGACAGCATGAGAAATCTATACTCAACATGCATGATGTTCACATGATTCCCTGGCCTCCCGATTATTTCCACGATTTTGTCCATGAAATCTTTAGTGTACTTAAGTCCTCACAGCCACTCCAATACTAGAATTGGGCCTAACACAAGGTAAACAGAGAGTGTTGTATACCCTTCCTTTGGTGAACTCACTTTTGGTGAATTCACGAGAAGTAAGAGGGGCTCTCGGGTCACCCTTAACTTATTTGTTGATTGCATCTCTATCACCATCCTACCAACATCCTGTGCAGTAGAGAGCTAATATTAGCATTCTCCATATTATTTACCCTTCGAAAAGAAAGCTGTCTGAGTAGGAAATTGCTGGAATCACAAAACTTAGCCTTTGAGACAGATCCTGCCAACCACAGTGGCTCACTGGGCCTCCACAGTTAATATAGACAACATGGTATTTACTGATCTCCTGTTTCCTTCTGAAAGTCAATTGTTCCATCCTTAAAGAAGTGCCTAGAATCAGCCCCAACACACACCCTCAGAGTATGCAGTCACTAAAGAGTTTCCCTCATAGACAACAGTTAGACAATCTTCCACACAGGTTGTCACAATATGTTCACTGGGGACTGAGCTCAACTTGGGTGATTACACTGAGGACAAGTAGAAGTTTGCAGGAGCTTTACTTCAGAACAAATTTACGCATTAGTAATCAAGCACATTGATTAATAAACACAATAATATAATAATTTCTAGTGGTTAATATCAAAGCAGAATGGGGTGTATAGAAAGATGGCATATGTCTTAGAAAAAATTCGATGACCCCCAGATGTCACCTGATCCAAACAATAGCCTTACAAAATTATATAGGTCTGAAAAACAGTTTTCTTAACAGACAGCAGAAAATCCTTTTCCAAACCTTGTGGCAACCAGGAATGTCCAATGATTGTCAAACTCTTCTGAACAGCAGATGTCCCAATCAGATCATGTACACACACATGTGTGTGGGACACATGTGGTGAGACACACACCACTGTTCTGATCAAGGACACTTTGATCAAGATAGGCCACATGTACAATGTTGGTCTGTCATGAAAGCGATTCCTCGTTCCTGTAGCACAGCTGGTGCAAGGAAACCTCAGGCACAAGCACTTCCTGGGTGTGTTAAAGCAGCAGGTTTGCAGCCCAGAATCCTGAGCTATCCCACACTGACTGCTTGTGAAACAGGCCACTCCATGTGGGTTTCTAAGCAGGCCATGATTTCTGCACAGTGTGGAACAGCCCACAGGACCACCTACCAGAACACGACCCTGCCACTCACACAGAACCATGCTCAAGGACATAAGACACATGACATTTGAAGCAGAACAGTATCAACAGAGGCTAGTAGAAGCCCAAGAGAAAGCCTTTAGTGGGCTGTTCTTCAAGGCATGGAAAAATTATGGGTGACAGCAGGTGTCTTGGGGACAGAACACAATGATGGTCCAGGCAAATGAGAATCTACATGGCAAGTACTTCCTCCCTCTATTCTGCAGACAAATGCGGTTTGTTGTACATTTAACTGTGAAAGACTAAAACCCATTTCAGAAATTTAAAAGAAATATATTTTTATTTACTTACTTATGTGTGACAAATTGAAAAACAAATAAATAAACAAAAACACAGTGTGGATCAAATCCAGGGGAGCAGAACCACACAGTCACATTCCTGACACATTTGATGTTTTGAGACAGGGTGTTGTATGTTGCTCAGGGCCTCCTAAGTTGCAGAGACTAGCTTATAAACTTACGATCCTCCTGCCCCAGCCTCCCCAGCAGCTAGGATTATAGGCACTCACCACTATGTCCAGGAAAAATTTACTTTTATAGAAAAATAAGCTAAACAATTTTCTAAAAATGATAAGCAGAAAAGAAAAAAGATCAATATAGATACCAACATGACACAACTCAGAGTCTGGGACCCTCAGAGTACTACCACAACACAGACCAGAACAGAGCCCAGAAAGAGACTCCCACAAATACAGTCAACGGACCTTGCAAGAAGGAAAATCATTTACATCCAACGTGATGATGACTCCAGAGAGAGGGAGTGTTCCACACACAAGCAGAACCATTAGAACAAGAACATCATCATGTGTGAAAGCCCCAGGAGGTTCTCCACAGCTCCATGAAGCAGTGTTGGAGAACAGTGGAGAGCAGCAAGCAGGGTGTGACCTTCACTCACCCTTCAGAAAGCCCCTCTCTGGTGCAGGACAGGGGTGTGACCTCCCAGTATGAGACCCTAGTCACTGGCTACAGACTGTACACAGCAGATCTTTCCCAAGTTTCTTTAATTTCTATTAAATTCATCCCAGAACTAACAATGTTAACATCTTAAAGAAATTTTAAAAAGGTTCTCACTGTTCTAAGTCAGAAAAAATCACTGTGAAAAAGTAGGTGGAATTCCTTAAAAAGAGTTAACTAAACCCACAGCCTGCATATAGGAATAGTAGCAAATTATTGTTTTCCCACTCAACCACCACCTGAAGTCTAGAGAAGAAAGCTGAGGGAGAATTTCTTTTGGAAATCAGGTTTCAAAAATACCCAGGTTCAGGAGGCTCAGGCAGGAGGATTGCAAGTTCAATGCCAGCCTCAGCAACTCAGGGAGCAACTAAGCAATTGAGCAAAAACCTGTATCAAAATTGAAAACAAAATTTAAATACAGGGGGCAGGGGATTTGGCTCATTGTTTAAAAACACTTGGTTTCACTCCACTTTATTGTGCCCCAAAATAAGAATACCTAGGTGTACAGAGGAAGTAAGGAAGCCCACACAGGCCAGGAGAAACCCTTTCAGAGAAGATCAAGAGCTGCATTCATTGCAAGCTCAGCACTGGTGTCTCTCCAGGCTGGGTGGGCAGAGCGCAGGAGCAGAGAGTGTGAAGCAGCACCAGTCTGTGTTAAAGCAGAGGCGCCAGCACAGCTCCCTGGAGGAGCCAGAGCACTGAGCTCTTGCTGTTGCCACTGCTCTCTCCTTGCTTCTGGTGAAGCAGCAAATGAGGGCAAGGACACCGAGATCTGGCAGCAACAGTTTAGTAGTGGCAGCAGAGCCCAGAGGAACAACTCCCAAAGCCTGAGCCTGAGCACATCAGGGCCTTTACTTTTAAGCATAAGAAACTTTTGAGAACACTGAGGCAGGGAGTTGGTGCCATCTATTTGATAACCCTTACATGCTTGTCCCTGCCTAGGGTCTCAGCTCTTAGAGGCCAGGGCCTTTGGTGGCACTCAACCTAAGGAGGGGCTGCTCTGTCCCTGCTACTCTGTGGGCTGCTTCTGCTGCTTGGTTCTCTCCTTATAGGGACCTGTCTGCTGCCAGCCTGCAGGGTGAAAGGTCAGAGAGCAGAGCTGCTGGGTGGCAGCTTGCAAATCCACAGCCTGGCAGCTCCCAAACGGCTGAAGCGTCCTTCTGTCCCACCACACTGGCTCTCAGGGGAGTCTAGAAATGGACTGAACACAAGCCAATTCACCACACACCGCAGACCAAGCAGTTTTGTGGGGAGGTACTTTGAATGACTCACGCCTTCCAGTCCTGAAGCAAGAGATTCTGACCATTCACTCACTACATTTTATGGTGACTTGGGCATTGTCCCAGCTCAGGAAGTCGAAGGCATGTCTTCAGGTGTAAGTGTGTCACCCACAGGGTTTGGCTACACTCACCTATTCTTCTGTAATCTTACCCCTTTGCCCTGTTTGGGATAGAATATTCCATGGCAACACCCTTTGTGTGTCCCCTTCTCTTGCTGTGCCTTTGGGTGTGGCCTTCCTAGATGTCAGTCAACCTGCTGACACAGACATCAGGAAGCTAGACTCAGCCCCTTGAAACCTGACCCCTTGCCTCATTGGAATGGCTTCTCCTCAATAAAAAGGTTCAGCACTTTCTCTCTCTCGGTTGTGCTCTCTCTTTCTGCAGACACTTAAGGTCACAGGAGCCATCACAGGACCCAAAGAAAAAGATATGTGTGTCTCTTGTGTGAATATTTAATGCAGCCCAGTTCACCTGGAGTGACCCTGAGTGTTTTAGTGTGAGGAATGTGACAATTGGTGGCCCATATGGCCACTCCAGAGTGATTTTTATAAATTTAGTGCATTTGGAGTTTCTCTTCAGAAGTTAAGCCTGCTTCAGATTGCAGAGTATTGTGGGCTGAATTGTAGAAAGTAAGTGGATTAGACAGAAGAAAAATCTGTGAGGTTAAACTCTTAAATGTTTGGGAATATTCTGTCTTTATAAAAATATTTTTATAATTCTAGACTCTAAATAAATGTAAAGTGTTATTAAGATGATTAGTGGGAAATGTGAAGTTCAGTCCTCTCCCATGGGAAAAGTGTTTTGTGGACTTTTTGGGATTGTTTTTGTGAATCTTTATATTTTGAAACATTAAGTAAAGATTTTTTTTTTGGAGGGTTTATGTACTAGAATTCTGTGCTGGGACAGTGAGAAAAAAGGAAGAAAATTTTTATGCTGAGAGATTCTCTACCTGTAGAAAAGTGAATTTTATACTTTTATTGTTTTGTGAATACTCAGAAGGTTTTGAACCTCTGCTACACTCTTGTCCTATGGATCAGAAAGACTGTAACTGAGCCTAGGCACTGCTCCCTCTGGTGTCTGTAAGTAGAGCCACTGCCAACAGTGCTTTGAACCTTTAAGCAATCTGGCCTGGGTGCAGAATGCCTTAAAATCTGAGAGTAACACTGGTGTCTGAAGGTAAAACTCACTTTTAAAGGACCCATGTGCTCCCAGGGAAAGTACAAAAGACAGGAGGACACTGTGAAGGGATCATACAGGAAAACATCCATGAACTGCAAGAGTGTGAACAGCAGTGCAGGTCTCCAGATGAGGCTTCATAGGAACAAACCAAATGCAAGGCAACCCGCTGGGAAGCTCGGGAGCCTCTGTCCTGAACAATGGGCAGCAGGATCCTTGCTGTTTCCATCACCATG